ACTGCAAGGAGATATATTACTGGACTGATATTTGTAAGTTTACTGACATCTCTTTATCGACACTGGACTTTGCAACTGAATAATCCCCGGACGGACTGAATTAGTGAATGATATATGGACTGTTTGAGTATGCTATAACTCTTACTGGAATAAACTATTTAATTAGCACTGCGTATCTGTTTTACTGAGTGTAAGCTACAAAAACGTTTATCTCACATATTTTTGCCTGCCTGCCTGACTGCCGTGCAGATTCTGCTAGGGTGTATCCCTAACACTATTCACCGTTGAAGGACAGCACAAACCACTGTCCGGAGCCCCTCTTGTGAGGGAGGTGGGTAGTTAAGAAATACAAAATGCAAACAACAGACAAGAAGCCATATCGCAATATTAAAAGTTATGAGGGGGGGGGGTCCTTGTTCTCTGAGGTGGCTTGTTTCCTTCCACTGGTCATGTTACCTAATTTGGGCAGTGCAACTTCTGCAAGGAAAAAAAAGAGAGAGAACGCCAAGGACCGCACAAATTCAACCCCGAGTTACAAAATTGTTCTTTCCTATCAATTAAAAAAAGCTGTGTTGTGTGTCTCCCCTCAGGCAGGGCCAGCTGCTTTCTGCAAGTTGTCAGCTCCTTCCCATGTCTCCGGAGACACCCTAGGAACGAATCCAGCTTTGTGTCTTTCGTCAAGGTTTGGTTTCGAGACACTTTCGAACGAATGAATCCCAAAGCTCGCAAGCAACACCCAACGCTCTAGGGTCCATGGAGCGCCCCAAAGACCCCACCCCTTCTCCGAGTTGCAAAGCGGCTGCCTGCGTCAAAATGTATCCTGCTTAGTAGGCTCCTCAATTACAGGCAGGAAATGAATCCAATAGATTTTTGCAAAAAATAAAAATACAAAATCTTCCACCAACCACCCAATCTCTCCAGCCCAACCAGGTGTTGGGGCCTCCAGCAGCTGAATCAGAGGAGGAGGAGGAGGTGGCGGCGTGGGAGTCAGGGTCAGCATCAACGCAATCTGAGAGCTCCAAGTGGGGAGAGGGGGAGGCAGAGCCTGGGCTGCGAGGGAAAATCAACAGCCCCCAGGTCTGGAGGTGGCTGAGGTGGAAGAGGAGCTGGGTCCAGTGCCTGACACGCAGAAGGCAGGGGAGAGGAGAGCAGTGGAAATCTATGGGCCGGTCCTTGGGATGGAAG